ACTAATGAGCACAACTTGGAAATGACAGATGCGTTTTCCGGGACACTTGACTCAATATAAGGGCTTTAAGCATCTGGAAAAATAGAAGGCACACGAGGCAGGAGTAGACACATGTGTGTGTTTGTTGTGTATGTGTGTGTGTATGTGAGTGTTTCAGTTTCAGTATAATATAATAGTTCCGAGCTAAAGCTTGCTGTTATTATAATGATAGAGACGAATGCCACAGTATTAATAAATTCGTTACATGTACTTTAAAACAACTAGACTATGTGAACGTGAGAGAAGCAGAAAACACATGCTATAATCCTCAATAGTTTCTCCAGTGACTTCAGATGTGCAATCATCGACACCTCTCGTCTAAAATCTATAATTTTCCCCATCTAAGACATCTTTGCCATAAATAGTTTTCGTGCTTAATTCAAAAGAAACCGCCAATGTAACACTTACATTATGTTAAAAAAGTGCCATAAATGCGTCGAATTATGCAGGCAGCGGCTTCTCCTTCTTATCTGGAAGCCTCAAAACCCCTCCGCTTCATTATTTAATCTACTGCCATTACACTAATTGTCCCTTCCTGACATGACGTTTCACACAGCAAAGCAAACATTCAACGAGAGTAATATGTTGTGCTCATTGCATCGATTTAGCGTTCAAGTTACGCGCCACCACTAACATGGTGCAATGCAATCAAAAGGATGACGAGGCTTGATCTACCTCTAATAGTTGATAGGAAGTTTCCTTTGAAAAGTGAAAAGTTAACAATAGCTGTACATGTAGCCTATAAGTATAAGTATAAGTATAAGTATATATGCTCATTTGGAATAGCGCCGTTCTATAGTGCGATTGACCCTGGTTCGAATCACAACTAGGCGTTTTTGAACTTTGGATGCTTGCGGAGTTTTCGAGTCTCTTCACTAAATCGGACACTTCGCGAGGTCTTGACGGAGACGGTATTTGTTTTTAGAGATCCATCCTCTTGAATAAGCTTTCACAATGCAAAATGAAAAGGTTGAAACTATGCCATCTTACTTCCTTGTAGAAAGTCTTTTCAAGCATCGTTTGTTTTAGTTTTAGTAACGTTTTTACGGGCTGACAGCTGCATAAGGTAATATGGGCGCCAAGGGGTGGATGTCAATAGAGACGTCCAAACGGGGAATCAGGCTTACTCTGCTCACCTCTCTAGCCTCAACAGCACAGTCTGCTTCCTCTATCAAGGCAGCATCCTTTGTGTGTTGACAAAGAATATCATTTCTTAGCCCATACATTTGCCAATTTTTCAGGTAACAGGTGTTGGGCGTTAAACCTTCGGGGGGGGAAGGGAAAGAATAAAAACAAAAATATTGTTTTGAAATCCTGGAAAGTCATCATCATCCAGTGCCAGATCTGTGGCAGACATCGGCGATCATGATTTTCCATTCATTCCTTTGCTCGGATGCTCTCAGAATAGCT